AAATGAAACGAAGCCTGCCCACTGTGGGAGGGAGGGTACTGGGAAATGGCTTCTATCCCTGCACTACAGATGATAACAGAAATAGCTAGGGGACCACAGGAGGGGCATGCTGTACAGCCAGGTCTCTGCTTAGGAAACTTTCATAAGGTTGAGTTAAGCCTTGAAAAATCTAGAAGGCCTTAACCAGGTAAAAGAGTGGAACAGGAGCATTCCACTAAAAGCCAGGGACATGAAATAGTGGGTCATATGCGGCAATGACATGCGGTCTGGTTGTTAACTTTCTTGAGCAGGGGGACAAGGGGAGCTGGCTGGTAAGGGTGTGTAGACTGCCCGTGCTTGACAAGGGTGCAGGCAACAAAGGCCCCCTGAGAGATTTGTGGCAGCAAAGGTGGGTGTCAGATACTCATTCCTGGCCAGAGCCGGAGCAGGGGGTGGAATTTGGAGAAAAGAACAGAGAGAAAGCCTCATGCTAGTAAGACACTGACTCAATTTCATGGTCAATATCTTTTTATTCTTTTTTTTTTGAGACGGAGTTTTGCTCTGTCACCCAGGCTGGAGTGTAGTGGCACGATCTCGGTTCGCTGCAAACTGCCTCCTGGGTTCAAACAATTCTCCTGCCTCAGCCCCCTGAGTAGCTGGGATTACAGGCACCTGCCACCATGTCCAGCTAATTTTTGTATTTTTAATAGAGATGGGGTTTTGCCATGTTGGCCATGCTGGTCTCGAACTCCTGACCTCAGGTGGTCCACCCACCTCAGCCTCTCAAAGTGCTGGGATTACAGGTGTGAGCCACCGCACCCAGCCATCATTTTTTTTTTTTTAACAGAGTCTTGCTCTGTTGCCCAGATGAGTGCAGTGGTGCAATTTCGGCTCACTGCAAGTTCTGCTTCCCAGGTTCACGCAATTCTCCTGCCTCACCCTCCCAAGTAGCTGGGATGACAGGTGCACACTACCACACCTGGCTAATTTTTTTTTTTTGTATTTTTAGTAAAGACAGGGATTCACCATGTTGGCCAGGCTGGTCTCGAACTCCTGACCTCAAGTGATCTGCCTGCCTTGGCCTCCCAAAGTGCTGGGATTACAGGTGTGAGCCACTGTGTCTGGCCTGTCATATCATTTTTTTAAAAAGAAAAAATAGCCATGGCCTATTAACAAATATACCCAAGTTATTGTGACTTTGAGGCCTCACCAATTGAGTGTGGCAATAAGACTCAGAGGGTCCTGCCAGGAGCACTGTCTATGATGTCCAGGATAAGGAGGAATGGCTCCCGGCAGGAAGTGTCCTTCCAGTTCTGAAGTCTAATTAGCAGGCTGAAAATAGCGAATTTATGAGAAGACATGGTCTTTAGACTCCAAATTCTAAAATTTTAAGTAATTTTTGACTGCTAGCGGAAATCAGTATTACAATTTCTAAAGGAGCAATTTCAGCTGGAACGTTCCCCAAAACAAACATATGTTTCTGAAAAACAGAAGGCAAAAAATAATCCAGAAAGAAAAAAATCCCAATGACTGTGCCAACAAATCTCTGTAAACACTAATTTTAGGTTTTAAAGGCCTACCAGTAATTTAACAAAGTCTGAGCGCCCCCTGATGGTTAATCAGGGGTCCTACAGAAGATGCCACTTTTAGCTACCTGAGGTCAACTTGTTAACTTTTCTCTTCAAATAATCAAGCAAGTCATTGTTCTTATTTGCTTTGTGCAGAAAAAACAAAGTATGTAGGCTTGTGATAAGAAACGTGACATGTTTAGGAAGCTGCCAATTCAGTGGAATTTAAGAACGGAGATGTGCCAAACCCAAGACAGAGAAGAGTGCTTTTATATAAGAACCTAAAGGACTTCCAGGAAAAACTCATTTTTATTTCACTGGACTATTGGTTCCTTATAATCTTTATGTTATCCTGGGGAAAACGGCACAGCGACCAGGCAAAGACAGAAAATGCCACCGCCCCCACCAGAGCATCAGCTGCAGGCTGGCGCCCTCCACTGGCCGCTCTGGTGGCTGCAAGGCTGGCACAGAATGCCACCCATGGTGGCCCTGCCAGGGAACTGTGGCTGGGTGACTTCTGCTACCTTTCCCCCAGGCAATTATGCTGCAAGCACACACCCTTTCCTTTTGGTAAAACATTATCTGGTCCAACCAGTAAGCTGAAGTTACAAGGCAGGAACCAGCAAGCTAAGGGCAGGCTGTTAAAATATACTCTCCATTGAACAAATGGATCCGGGAGAGTGAAAACCGCTTGCTGGGGAAGGTAAAGCGAGACAATGTTTGCAGAGGAGAGGAAGCTCTGGCATGCACCCCTGAACAAAAGGGAACAAGTGGTCTTTACTTGGAGAACGGCTTCCTATTAGGACTCACTCCTTCGTACATTATGCCTTTCATCCCCACTCAACCACAAAATGATTTTGCTGAAGCAAATACAATGGTAGAAAAAGATTTACACTGAAAGAATCTTTAATAATAAACTGTTGCCAATCTGCCTACTTGTCCGTGATTTATAATACAATAAACATCGGATTCTATTACGGCTCATGCACTGAAGCTGCTGCTCTGAAAAAACGGCATATGAAAGCACCCAAACCCCACCAACATCACAATGAAATGAGCATGTATAAATGTGCTAAGAGTATCTCTTTGCATCTTTTATAGCTTGTGTGTATTAATCTGTAACGCTTATTAAGAAAGTCATTGCTATGCAAAGCAGCACCCAATCCCTTTCTCTGGCTTTTCAACAGGAGTGCACTGTTTAGCCAATAGGACAGACCCTCTGGCCCTCATTCTGCATTCATCACAGGCAACATTTGCACAATGTATCTCTCAAAGGCGGCTGAAAAGAAGGCCTTAATACTCATGTAAACAACTGCAAACCAATTACTTAATGAATCAGGCCCACACATAATGAGGTGCAGACAAAGAGCTATAAATGCATTTTTGCGCCCAAGCCGCTGCTTTAAAGTAAAATCCCTCAGCTGTAGTTTGGGCTTAACTAGCACATCATAATTATTGTCTCTAGGACATCAGAGGAAGCCATTTTTTTTTTTTTTAGGTCCAGCGGGTTTTTTTTTTTTTTTTTCTGAGGTTGCTCATCAGCTCACTGACAAAATAGAGCAAAGAAGAATTTTAAAAGTGCTACAGCAGCACTGCACTGTTATGTTTATTCTCAAGTACCGGGTTTCGAGACCACTTGTAAAAGCAATAAAGCACAAGGAGTGACTGCAGTAAGTGGGATCCTTAAATGTAAGCCTCTAAGAAATTTCAGTGAATCCAGCACAAACAGCAAAACTGGAGCTCTCCAAAGCCCAGGGTGGCGTATTAACAACACCAAACCCAGTACAAGAACCAAACTGTGACAAACAGCACGCCAAGCCTACGCACTCTGGGCCCAGACCTTTTCATCACTGGATTATTATCAAGTGCCTAGAACCAAGAGTTCCTTGAAGGCCTTTTTGTGTGTGTGGTTTTTTTTTTTTTTTTTGCTTGTTTTCTTAAAGCGGATGATGAGATTACTTGTAATTTATTAGGAAATTCATTTCATACAGAAATACTAATAACAAAAGGCCTCTGCCTCAATTTGAAGGAGGAAAAAAGTTTGATTTTAGTTTAGTGAAATATAGACAAGATGTGAAATTATTAGGCTGAGAAATGTTCTACAAAATCCAATTGCTTTCTCAATGTCTTTAAACATTTCCCAAAGAACCTATGTAAAGACTGTTTAGGAAGAACTGGGTTTTTTAGTGCCTCTATATATTATTAAGCCAAAATGGTAACATTCGGCCCTGAAAACTATCTGTAGAATTTACTGTCTTTTAAAATTTCTTTTAGGAGACCTAGAACTTGAATTTATAATATAATCGTAATAACATAATACTTTTAATACTCTTCCTGTACCATTTACCTCCCATTTCCTTCAAAAATATGGATGAAAACTCAGGCATTAAAAATAGTAACTTCTGATAATTAAATGAGTTATCTCCCTAAAACTGAACTTGTCAAGTTTCTAAAACCCATAATTTTAGAAATTCAGTCTCATTTTAATATATACTCCAGGTTCTAAAAACACTGTATTGTTTTATAAAATATGAATAAAAATAGGATTTTTTTATTTAAAAAATTGGACATTCCTGGCTCAAATCATTTTCTCTTATGGAACATTGTATGTTATACTAGAAATGTAAAGTTCCTGTTGTAAAATTTCATCACAAACAAGCAGTTAATTCAAATGTAATATAATCATCTGAAGGACATCTTTTTACTGAGCAATGCTGTTCCAAAAGGAAAGTTGCTATGCCATTTTAAACGATATTTAGCTCAAAGCAAAAGAGCAAGGTATTTCATCAGATGACGGCTGATATTCCCATCTATAAATTCTAAGTGACCTGAAGCTACTGTGATTAGTATTTTATGTTAATGACAAATTCGGCACACAACTCTCTTAGCACTGGTCAAAAAACTTACAAGAAGTGAGTGCTACAGTTTGACAAAGGTGAAGAGATAAATTTTGTTCTTTATGGAAAATAAGCAAGAAAGTATTAAAAAGGAAAGAATAATCTAGCCTAAATACTTGGTTAAAAAAAAGAGAAAAATAAAAATGAATATCCAGCAATTACTAGTTTATATATTAGCCATCACAAAAAGAAGAAACATGCCACTTTATTTCTTTTAAGGCCTGATGTTTTCTCTCTGCCCTTTTTTCTGACAACCTCCATTGTGTGGTCTCTAAGCAGTCCTACTGCGAGCAGCTGTAGACGCTAATTTGTGGTTCACTGAGGTGTCAATTGAGTCTTAAACCAAGGAAACAACAGCTGCAAAACAATACTTGGCTCTGGTGCAAATATTTTCAAAGGTAGACTAAAGTTTCAACTGTTATTTTAGATAAACAAAAACCCAAACCATAACCCTCCAAGTCACACAACAAAATAATATGCAGCTAGAGTTTAATTCATTGCATTGTGACATTTCTCATCTTGTTGCTGCTATTCAGAAAGGCTTTCACAACTTTACCTTGACAAAGGACTTCCTTCACTAGATGAAAAACTAGCTTCCGACGCAATTTTGTTAGCTGTCTTTGTCTCGAATGCACCGCTGCCAATATTCAAACCTGTGATAAGCGTAAACATGGAGAGTGAGGGTTAGCTGTCATGCAGCCACGGGACAAAATGAATAAAGTGGCCTCACAGTAAAGTTTGGTGAAACAAACGCCAGCAGAGGAAGAATCTGTTCAAGCCGCAGAAGGCAAGGGAGCTTCTGAGGCAGAGAATGAAATGCTGGTAGAACACTGAAAGGGAGTGGGGCGCTTTCCTGTGATACCTAAACAGTAGCCACAAAAAGTGAAAACTGAAATCATCCAAAGAGTTCAATTTTAAATGACCAAGATGCACATGGAGGAATATGGATCTCTACTGTGTCACAAAGCACTGGATAATTCCCATTGTTATAACACACGGGTAGCAAACCAGGGCTCAGAAATAATTGAGACCCGTGGATAACAGTTACCCACCTTATCCACTCTTAAGCCCCTCTGTAAAATCCTCTATTTTCCATCCCATAGAGGAGAAAGAATCTCCACTGAAAATCATCAAGGCCACTCTTTACCAGCCTCTAAAGGTTGAGGAGGAGGATGCACACTCCACCTCTTTCTCTGGAGCCAGAGACTTGGATATTCCCACAATGCCCCCAGTTTGCAGGGCAACCCCTGACCTTTGCCTTCTGGGAGTTCTCAGCCTTGGATGTTTCCGCTACAGGTCTGCTTCTTAATTGGCAGTCACAATCAGAGACACAGCATGCATGGGCATCTCTGCAGAAAGCATTTGCTGAGTTTCTAACCTGGAATCTGCCTGCTTGCATGTACACTCTGCAGCAAAGTGATTATTTTAAAAATGTGTCCACATTCAGCCCAAAGAGGGTGTCCACATGCTCACCAGGAGGAGGTCTTTTCAGACATGAAAACTAAGGCTCAAGGTTTATTTAAGAAGCTTTCCTCAGGACAGGTCCACAGACTCAGAAGTAAGTGAAACATGCACTGCTTCTTCATTAGATTTGGGGTGGGCTCCTTGAGCGCAGAGTGCACCACCACCTCCCATCCCTGCTACTTCTAACAATACTGTGAAGCTGCCCTATACCCTCCAGTCCACTTTCTGTTTTTCTCTGGGACTCAGATAAGTCCTTAGGATCAGAATGAGAGTAAGGGTAAAAGATAACACACAGCCAAAGGATCTGACTACAATGACAGTGACAGCAAACACAGGCAGGAGCACTTTGAGTATGGGGCAAGGGAAATGAATTTAGGGGTGCCTGACTATATAACCTAGAGTGTCATTTCATTTATGAACAAATTAATAAAAATGCATTAAGTACTAGGTTATTAATAGTACCATAATCCATAATTTCAGATACACATCTAAGGGATTACAACTTATATGTCAAATTTACTCATCTTTTTTTTGTTTGTTTTTTGAGACAGGGTCTGGCTCTGTCACCCAGGCTGGAGTGCAGTGGTGTGACCTTAGCTCACTGTAACCTCTGCCTCCTGGGTTGAAGCCATTCTCCTACCTCAGCCTCCTGAGTAGCTGAAGCACCTGTCACCATGTCTAGCTAATTTTTGTATTTTTAGTAGAGACAGGGTTTCATCATATTGGCCAGGCTGGTCTTAAACTCATGACCTCAGGTGATCCGCCTGCCTTGGCCTCCCAAAGTGCTGGGATTACAGGTGTGAGCCACAGTGCCCAGCCAAATTTACTTATCTTTTGCACTTGTCCAATTAACTACTGAAAATAACACTTACCAGAAACAGATGTGTGGAGTCACTTTCCAAAGTATGTGTGTCATTTATCTAGCTGAAAGGCTCTGAGCAAGGTGTTACTCTCCTGGGGACTCATTTGTAAAATAGGAGTGTTGAATACATTCTTTCTAATATCCCTCTGGATTCAAATTCCATGACTCAAATGTGAAGAAGGTCATGGAAAGCAAACAGTTAAGAGTTTGCAAGTGATGACAATCTCCATCAGGACAGAGGCCCTGTTTTATAACTCAATAAACTACAATGTCTTATGTTCAAATCACCCCTACCACCGCAATGGCTGGCTCTCCTAGGGGGCTTTTCACTGTTAGGCACTGTGCTGGGCACTTAACATGTAGTGGCTCACCAAATCCTCAAAACCACCAAAATAACTGAATTTTGCCGCAACTGACTTTAACCACTAATATTATCTAGGAAATAGCTCTCCAAATACAGCTAAGTCTGATGGACCGTAAGTATGTCCCTCAAAAATATCTGTCTGAAAAAGACATTTTTTGTTTATTTTTTAGATAGGGTCTTGCTGTGTTGCCCAGTGCAGTGGTGTGATCATAGCTTGCTGCAGCCTCAAACTTCTGGGCTCAAGTGATCCTCTTGCCTTATTAGCCTCTTAAGTAGCTAGTAGTATAGGAACATGCTAAAACGTGTGGTTAATTTTTAAATTTTTTGTAAAAACAGTGTCTTGCTATATTGCCCAGGGTGGTCTTGGGACTCCTGGCCTCAAGCACCTCTCTCACCATAGCCTCCCAAAATGCTGGGATTACAGGCATGAGCCACTGTGCCTGGCTGAAGAAGACATCCTTGAGACAACCAGGAAATCTGAATATGGACTGGGAATTACATGCTATTTAGAAATCACTGTTCATTCTGCTAGGTGAAATTATGGCATGGTGGCTAAGAAAGTCAATGTGGATTTCCTTCTGTATTAATCCATTTACTCTCACAAAGGAAAGTGAGGTAACTTACGCTTTAAAAACTGGTGTAAAGAAAGGAAAACCACTGGAAATAATAGATGTACAATAACAAAGCACAAAAAAACAAAATTACAATTAAAACAAAATCCTAGATTGAAGGAACTATAACTAAGCTTAAAATTTAGCTTTCCTGACTGCGCATGGTGGCTCACACCTGTAATCCCAACTCTTCGAGAGACCAAGGCAGGTGGATAGCTTGAGTCCGGGAGTTTGAAACCAGCCTGAGCAACATGGCAAAACCCTCTCTCTACAAAAAAATACAAAAATTAGCTGAGTGTGGTGGTGTGCACCTGTAGTCTCAGCTACTTGGGAGGCTGAGGTGGGAAGATTGCTTGAGACTGGTAGGTTGAGGCTTCAGTAAGCCATCATGCCACTGTACTCCAGCCTGGGAGACAGAGCAAGACCCTGTCTCAAAAATAATAAATAAATAAACAAACAAACAAATAAATAAAATTTAGCATTCCTGGGATTTATAATCCTTTCAGTAAAATAACTAAAAATCCCCCAACATTCTGGTGAGGGAAAGCAGCCCAGTACAACACTGCCCATTGAATGACAAAGACACTAGTAGTCGTGGGGAAGAGAAGGAATTTGGGTGTGTCTTCCCAGGGTCACTGATGACAAGTCACTATCATGACATGCTTGGCAGAATCCAGGGCCTGGGAGGGCCACTGCCGTGCTGGCCAGCACATGTCTAGGACACAACAAAAGGGCTTTTCCACATGTCCGTTTGCCAAGGATAAAAAAAGTACTAGCTCATTCTGTCCTGGTGACAGCTCGTTACAGAGCAAACTCCAGAAACCTTCAAAAAGAATAACCACCCTTCCCTGAACACAGCCCTGCCCGCCACTTTGGGCCCCTGGACACTGCCATCTGCTCTTACTTACCTGACAAGTGTGACACAGAAGCATCTGCCTTTTGAAACCTGTTTTCAGTTTGATTTGTATTATCCTGAAGGGTAGCCTTCTTCAGCAACTGGTAGGCTTCTGTTTCTATTGATTAAAGAAAAACACAGAAATACCACATTTTTTACTGCCCAGAAAGCAGCTTTTAAAATTCTTCCTATGAGATGAACACTTCTCAAATGCATGCAAAATTATTATTTTTTGAACTGTCACGTTTTAGACATTCTAAAAATAAAAACAATTTAGTTGAAACCAGGTTTCAAGACTCAAAGACAAGTTGTATGAGTTTATTTGAGGCAGCCAAATTCTAGTCTGTGGGTCTGTGGATAGGTTCACCATCACAGTAAAACAGTTTCACTTCCCTCTGGGCCTTGTAGAGGAATGAACCAGAATGAACCAGAAAAGCAAGCAAGCCTTCCTAGGTTGCCAGGTCACTCAGAAACTCTCTTTGCTCTGGCTCTTGGGCTCTCACACTCAAGTGCAGGGGCTCTGGGACAGGGCTGGGGGAATGGGGAGAGGGTCAGGAAGGGTGGTGACAGCTGGATGAGTTCAGAGTCCCACAGCTGAGGAAATCTAACCAAGTCTTGCCACGGGGAAGGAGCGAGAACGGGTTTGCAGAGAGCAAAGCCAGGCGTCCACAGGGATCAGCGGCAGCCTGCACATGCTCATGTTCATAGGATGCTCTTGGCCATGCAGTGCTTCTAATGGCATCTGCTGTAAGTGAAATTGGGGAAGACTGTTGGGAAAAACAGTAAACAAAAATACATAAAGAACCTGAGTGACACAACCTTCCCCATTACTCTAAATTTCAAGAGCACCCAGATGAAATGCAGGATGAAGAATCAGAGATTCAGCACAAACATAACAAAACAGCATCCATGTCTACATCTTCAACGTAACACAAAAGGAGTCCCACTGTCAATGCCAGGGGCTGGCAACAGGTTGGATTCCTGCTTTCGCTGGCTTCATTTAAGGACTTAACCATGAGACCCTATTACTGGATTAAAACTACCATCACACTGAAGAATAAAAATACAACTTACCTTGCCCTACTGAAAATCAGTCAAGATAAAAATGAGTACTTAAAATGAACATTATACTTTGGAATATTAAATACTATATAATTAAAATACATACAGATCAGGGATTCTTCGCTCTGAAGATAATAAATTCTAAGGCAACACTTTTTTAACATTGCTGGATTGTGAAATCAGTTTAGGTCATTGAAACTAGTATTTTGAAAAATCTAATAAAGAAAACGTCAGAAACAGTGCATACAGAGGGGAAAGTGCTGTTTTGTGTAATGTGGGGGGGGGGGGGGGGGCGGGGGGGGCTGGGGTGAAAGTGTTTCCTGGTGAGGCTGGTCGCACTGTCCTAGGATGGCTCCAATGGGATGGTGTCGTGATGCCCTTCGGCTAATCCTAATATCCGTGTTACTTCAAATACACTGTAAGGTAACTGTGAAAGAGGGACAATATTAATAAAATCAAAGACAGAGTGTCTGAATTTCTAAAGGTAAGAAATCAGTGTAAAAGAGGTAAAAATGCCCTGTTTTGTTTTTATTTTATAAAAATCAACCAAAAAGTTTTTCAGCTCTCAGGATACAACTCCAGATCTTAATGACCCCATGTTATTTCTACATTCAATTAAACTTATTTCGTCAAGGAAAAGATAGCAAAGATGGGAACTTAAAAAAAAAGGAGCAGCTTCTTGATAAACAAAGCCTCCTGGCCACTGGAAGCTGGAGCTGTGCACTGCAAATTCATTTCTCCATTGTCGGAAGGCAAATCACTTGACTCCAGTGAGACGGCGCTCCTGCTTCTCAGAAACCAGGAAAACGTGTCACTGGCAATCAGAAGGGGATTTCTGTGAGAAGTATCAAGCTAGTAGTCCTGAGGTAATTTCAGATTTGGGGGGGATTAAGCATTCTGCCCAAACAGAAGAAGGGCTGATAGTATTACTGGTTTGAGGTTAGCAAGGGAGGAAACTGCCAATGTGAAGTGAAATCACTTCTAGCAACAAGGCACCATTCTGATACTCTGGAAAAGACGAGCCCTTTCTATGCTCCACACTTTCCATCTGGTCCCCCTCCCTTCCTTCCTGAAGAGTGCGAGCTCAGGAGCTTTTGGCTAACCACCCATCCTGAGATGGCTCACTCTCCTGCTCCATTCAACCAGAGCCCACCACTTCCCAATCACCTCACTGGTGTTTCATCCTTAAGCCTCTGTGGCCCTTCTCCAAGCAGAGTCACCGAAGCCCACCTGGGCAGTTTTTATTTGGGATGCAGCTGCCCTGACCTGAGTCATAAAGGACTGGCAAGATCAGGCTGAGGACTGCTGGGCACATCTCTCACCCCCAATCCCAGTGCGCACTCTCTCCAATGGTTTAAAGGCAAAGTGAAGTTTAAAAGGTACAAAGATGAAGTGCATTCACCTAGAGGAATGACACTCACTGAGGCAGGACCACAGATGTCAAAGCAGGAGAGGGCAGAGAGCCTAGCACTGTTGCCGCCCAACCGAGGATCAGATGCACCAGAGCTGGAGTCGCTCTCCCTATGCATCACCCCCCTATTTAGTCAGAATTGTTGCACAAAACTATTTATGAAAGTCTGAGAGATGATCTACATAGGAAAAACAAAATTAATAAGGGTTGGTTAAAACAAATTAGAAGTGGTTAAAGGATACATAGTCTGCATAGAACAAGGTCGGAGAAGGGAAGGAAAGTTCAGGTATTGCAAACAGACTGGACAGGATGGGCATTGCAGATGCAGATGCCTCTGGGGCCAAGCAAGTACCTCCAAGAAGTGACTATGGCCAGGCAGGAGCAGCAGGAAGCGCCTGCCCTGTAGCAGGCAAGGAGGCACATGACTTGTCCATAGAGCACAGCTGCTCCTTGGCTCCAGCCAATTGCTGCCTGGTGGGAAGGTGGGCCTGGTCTTGCCAGACTTCTGCCTTTTCTTTCTTCTTTTTAAAAATAAAACACTGCACAGACAAAACAGAACATATTTGTAGCCTCGAAACTAGATGGTAGTGAGCAACTTTTTGTGTTCACTGAAAGTGGTACAAGAACACTTAGGGAAAAACTGCAGCCAAATAATACAAGCTAGATATTAGGAAAAGCTTTCTTGTTGAAACGGTTGTTGGAACATGTTATCCAGGGAGGATGCATCAGCTGTATGAAGATTTTTAAGGGGCTGTCTGTATCAAACAGACCAGGTTTCAGACTCTGGAGGCAAGAGTGTATTTTTTTTTAGGAGTTCTCAAACAAATCAGACATCCTCCTGAAACAGCCCAGAAGACTTGGCCGGGACGCTAGTTTCATGAAGCAAGAGTGTAAAGCTATGGATGTGAGGTTTGTGGTAATTCAGGCCCAGGATTTTTTAGAAGAAACACAGTGATGAACCAAGCAGTTAAAAGCTCCACTTTGTTGCTGCTCTGCAAATTCATAGTTATTAAATGAATGAACAAATAAAGGAGCAAAAGTAACGAATCAAGAAGTTCAAGTCAGTCTGTTACAAACAAGGTAGGGACAAAGTCAATATATTTCCATGGGAAAAAGATTTTTGTTTTCTCAGCTGCAAGTAAACTGTAAGTCTGAAAATTTGAGGATTGGGTGTTTGCTTTAATGGTTTCACTTTCTAGCCTGACTCAGAAATCCAGGGAAACACTTCCTCCCATTAGTAAAGTTAAACTCTCAGAAAATACTGAGTAGTGAAAATGTTTAGATTACACAAACATTTCTAAAGAATACAATCATTTTCAGATGGAATGTTCTGATACACACAGAAACAAACACACACGCATGCTCAAGCTTTCAGTTCTGAATCTTTGTTCAAGCATTGATTATATATTCAAATCTGTGTCAAGACTTAGTTTAAAAAGTAGAAAATATTGTAGTTCAAAATGTAAGGCAAGGCAAGGAGGGGCATCCCATGCAGTCTACAGCTCCAGAAGGTGAAAATCTATCCTTGTCTATTAACTCTTGACTGATGACATGAGATAAATGTATTTTCCCTTACTTTGTTACATAAGCTGCCTGAACCCAATCATCTATCTTTCTGCAAAGTGCTGAAGGATCACTGAGACTGTTTTTTTTTTTTCTTTTTGATATGCGTTTTGTGTCTGGAAAATAGAAACAGCTACAGAAAGAAAGTGAAAACATGCTGAATAAAGAGGTGGGAGAGAGATGATGCTGAGGAGAGGAGAAAGAAAAAGCCTCAACTTCTTATCTGTTTTCCTCTTTTATATGCAAATGTACACCTGCTAAAATACTTCTAAATCTACAAATAAAAAGAAAATATCTGATGAACAAGTGCTTTTAACACCCCATTACAAGAGCCAGACAAACACGTGGTTCACCAGTCTCTAAGGGGTGTCTTGGAGGCAGGGAATCTGCCCATTGCTTTTGCAGAAATCCTTAATGAAAAAAAGAGTTGGGCTCGGAGAAAAAATAACAAAGGGAGATGCAAACAATACTATCACTATGGCTAAAAAACCGACCTTGAACTGACAGAGAACTGGGCATGTTTGAGTAAGGAAGGATAATTGCTATTTCTATATGAAGTTAAAACAAAATCTGAAAAATATTCTCTGTCCATTGAGTTTCTCAGTATTGTTACTTTTCACATATTTCTACACCTACGTGTTTTTTCAAATTGTACTACGTGTGTTGCTGACACTGCAAACTCAGTCATTTTTGCAAAATAAAATAAAAATTGTGAGATATGTTTCTTAAGTTACTTCAAAAGATAAATATTAACTCTGAGAATCCAGAAATCATTTGCCTAGTAATCTACTTAAATAAAAATAAGGGCCGGGCGGGGTGGCTCACGCCTGTAATCCCAGCACTTAGGGAGGCTGAGGCAGGTGGATCACTTGAGGTCGGGAGTTCGAGACCAGTCTGACCAAAATGGAGAAACTGTAACTACACCATTGCATGGTGGCACATGTCTGTAGTCCCAGCTACTTGGGAGGCTGAGGCAGCAGAAAAGCTTGAACCCGGGAGGCGGAGGCTGCGGTGAGCCAAGATCGTGCCATTGCACTCTAGCCTGGGCAACAAGAATGAAACGCCATCTCAAAAAAAAAAAA